ACCCCCAAATAAGTTAAAATCTTTAAAACTTGTTTTCAATTTTCAATTTTGTTTATTTACCTTAAATATTTCAATATTATGCATTATATTTTTTAACCTTATTGTTGTTGTTGTTTTTTTATTAACTAAATTCAATCACCTTTATCATTTTACTAAGAGATATTGCATCAGCCATTAAAAAAATTATCTACGATCTATTCAAAATAAATACTAGAGATGAGTAACCGAAAAAAAACACAGAAAAAAAATACTCTTGACTTGGTACTTGTTGGTGTCAACACACCGCAGCCATAGGCGTCAATAGTCGCTAAAACAGCAGAATATTTAAATTTTATGACCATTTACGTTTTGTCTCTTCTCAACTTTTGCCATCTGCGCTTTGCCATGATGATTCTCAAAAATTTTAATAAAAACACATGTTTTTGTTCGTTTTCGTTATTGTTTTTAATTTCAGAAATTCTGAATTAATCAAATGAGTGTGGGTATATATTTTTATGTTTTTGTATTTACATTTTTTATAAGTATATTCTGGATCTCATTCTAACACACACGCCCTACTTTAACCCCTTGAAATGTTTGGAATCGCTTAATAGGATTATGTATTTGAATTTGTTACAAGTTTGGAATACATTGTGCGCAATAGGGGGTTTTCAAAAATATATGTTTTTTCAAAACTTATATTAGGATTTGAGTGTCTACAACTCGGGTAACTTATAGACTAAACTAGACTATAGACTAGACTATAGACTAGACTATAGACTAGACTATAGACTAGACTATAGAGTAGACTATAGACTAGACTATAGACTAGACTATAGACTAGACTATAGACTAGACTATAGACTAGACTATAGACTAGACTATAGACTAGACTATACACTAGACTATAGACTAGACTATAGACTAGACTATAGACTAGACTATAGACTAGACTATAGACTAGACTATAGACTAGACTATAGACTAGACTATAGACTAGACTATAGACTAGACTATAGACTAGACTATAGACTAGACTATAGACTAGACTATAGACTAGACTATAGACTAGACTATAGACTAGACTATAGACTAGACTATAGACTAGACTATAGACTAGACTATAGACTAGACTATAGACTAGACTATAGACTAGACTATAGACTAGACTATAGACTAGACTATAGACTAGACTATAGGCTAGACTATAGACTAGACTATAGACTAGACTATAGGCTAGACTATAGACTAGACTATAGGCTAGACTATAGACTAGACTATAGACTAGACTATAGACTAGACTATAGACTAGACTAGACTAGACTATAGACTAGACTATAGACTAGACTATAGACTAGACTATAGACTAGACTATAGACTAGACTATAGACTAGACTATAGACTAGACTATAGACTAGACTATAGACTAGACTATAGACTAGACTATAGACTAGACTATAGACTAGACTATAGACTAGACTATAGACTAGACTATAGACTAGACTATAGACTAGACTATAGACTAGACTATAGACTAGACCTAGACTAGACTATAGACTAGACTATAGACTAGACTATAGACTAGACTATAGACTAGACTATAGACTAGACTATAGACTAGACTATAGACTAGACTATAGACTAGACTATAGACTAGACTATAGACTAGACTATAGACTAGACTATAGACTAGACTATAGACTAGACTATAGACTAGACTATAGACTAGACTATAGACTAGACTATAGACTAGACTAGACTAGACTATAGACTAGACTATAGACTAGACTATAGACTAGACTATAGACTAGACTATAGACTAGACTATAGACTAGACTATAAACTAGACTATAGACTAGACTAAACTAAACTATAGACTAGACTATAGACTAGACTAGACTATAGACTAGACTAGACTATAGACTAGACTAGACTATAGACTAGACTATAGACTAGACTATAGACTAGACTATAGACTAGACTATAGACTAGATTATGGACTAGACTATAGACTAGGCTATAGACTAGACTATAGACTAGACTATAGACTAGACTATAGACTAGACTATAGACTAGACTATAGACTAGACTATAGACTAGACTATAGACTAGACTATAGACTAGACTATAGACTAGACTATAGACTAGACTATAGACTAGACTATAGACTAGACTATAGACTAGACTATAGACTAAACTACAGATTTGGCCACACTGCTGTAATTTCAAATTAACATTTATTTTTACATTACCCTTTATGAAATGTCATTAGCCTGTCATCAACAACTGGGAAGAAATAATTACATAAAGTAATTCCTAATGGATTTTAAGAATGTTGAATGAATATTTTGTTATTATAATAAAGTTCAAAATGAAATAAAATTTTCAATAACGTCATTAAAAGTGACTAAAGAATTATATAAGAAAAATATTACTGCATTGAAATTAATCTAAGAAATTTAGGATAAACCACAGTATGTAGCAAAACTTGAGTTTCAAATAATGTTAAGGGGAAATAAACACGGTAAACCTGAAGTCCCAGAAACAATTTTATTGTTTTCTTTACAGAATACAAATTTCTAGTAAATACTGGTATTCCAAAAATGCCTTAAGGCAATATACAGCCAATTTTCCTTAAAAAAGGCAATTTTTTTTGAAAAAGTAAATAAAATGTTTTTATATTTATATAAAAAAAATAATTATCAACGCCTTTTAAAAATATGTAAATTGGTTTAATAAACTGTTGGTTTTTAAAACTCGTATTACGCCTTAATTTTTTACTTTTTATACACAAATTGCATTGTGGAAGGAATGTATTAGAAAAATTAACAAAATAATAAACAAAAACAAACAATTGTTTACAAATAGAATTCAAACGCCAGCATTTAAATAAAATGCATTATACAAAATGTTATTTAATTTATAAAGCCATCATTTTAATAAATAATATGACGATTTATACAAATAAGAAAAAAATATCGTATTAGAAATGTAAACAACAACAAATATGAAAATTATGTTGAGAAGTAGGGACCCTACTAGGTTAGTTAAAAAATTTCAAACACACATTGGTTCTAAAGTCAAGATTATTAGCTGTATCAACTGTTTAATAGTCAAGACTATAGTTCTGTCTGTAATCTTAACTATATTTCAGTCTAAAGTCTGGACTATTTATCAGTCTATAATTTTAACTATGAGCTTATAGTGTTGACTATATATTAGCATATAGTGTAAAGTCTATAGTCTGGACTACAGATCTTCTTATAGTCTGAACTACAATTTTGCTTATAGTGTATTCTACAGATCAGTCTATAGTCTGTGGTATAAGTCTATATTTTGGACTATCAATCAATAGTCTGGACTAATAATCAGCCTAAAGTATAACAATCTCGACTATAGACCAGTCTATAGTCTTGAGTATAGATGAGTCTATAGATCAGTCTATAACCTGGCCTATAGATCAGTCTATATCCTGGCCTATAGATCAGTCTATAGCCTGGCCTATAGATCAGTCTATAGCCTGGCCTATAGATCAGTCCATAGCCTGGACTATAGACTATAGTATAGACTATATATCAGTCTAGACTATATATCAGTCTATAGTATAGACTATATATCAGTCTATAGTCTAGACTATATATCTGTCTATAGTCTGGACTATAGATCAGTCTAGTCTGGACTATAGATCAGTCTATAGTCTGGACTATAGATCAGTCTATAGTCTGGACTATAGATCAGTCTATAGTCTGGACTATAGATCAGTCTATAGTCTGGACTATAGATCAGTCTATAGTCTGGACTATAGATCAGTCTATAGTCTGGACTATAGATCAGTCTATAGTCTGGACTATAGATCAGTCTATAGTCTGGACTATAGATCAGTCCATAGTCTGGACTATAGATCAGTCTATAGTCTGTGCTATAGATCACTACATAGACTGGAATATAGATCACTCTATAATCTGGAATATAGATCACTCTATATTCTGTACTACTGTTCAGTCTAGATCAGTATATATTCTGGATAATAGATCAGTCTGTACTCTGGACTATTTATAAACCAGTCTATATCGTGGACTATAGGTCACTCCATATTTGTATTATAGAACAGTCTATAGTCTGGACTATAGATCAGTCGCTAGTGTGTTTTATACTTCTGACGATAGTTTGGATTAAACATCAGTCTATATTCTGGACTATAGAACTATCTGTCTGCAATCTGGACTATAACTCAGTCTATAGTCTGTACTATTGTCCAGTCTACAATCTGGTCGAATATTGATCAGTCTAATACGATGTTGTTGTTGTTTTTTGAAAACTGTGTATAATGTAGGGTATTCAGACTTTTTTATCTCAAAAAAGGGGTGGCCTTGTGCCACAACAAATAAATCAATGGGTGCAATGTATTCAAAGCCGGTAAATAAAAAATATTTAAACAATAACAAAATAAATATAAAAAAATAAACAATAATTTTAATAAAGAGCCAAAAAAAAAGAGAGTGAGATTTTATGTAAAATTATATGCAAAATTTCAAGAAAAACAAGTTTTTCATAAAAAAAACTATAACAAAACTTAAAATCGAACATAAAATCTATATAATTCTAAGAATTTAAACAATGCGCAGTAAGTTAATTTCTATATATTTTTTAATTTTTTTTTCTATTTTGTTTTCGTTTTTTTTTTTATCAGAGAAATTTATAAACAAAAATTCTAGCAAAACAAACAACTCTTTATTTTTTTTATTTGAACACACAGATACAAAAACACGCCACTGTGGGGATGTGTGAGTGTGTGAACAACCACAAACAGCAAACACGAGGGTTAGTTTTTGTAAACAAAACAAGAAGATACATATATTTGTATCTCAGAGATTGTTTTCAAGGAAACTTAAAAGTGTGAGAGAGAGATAGAGGGAGAAAAAGTATCGGTAAAAACGAAAAACACATTTTGCCGGTTAGAGAGTAGTATATTCGTATATTCTGGCACGTCCGCATTTCGTATAAATAGCAGACCTCTGCTTAGATTAGAACAACATTTCAGTTTTGACTTTCTCAACAGTCATTAAACGGGTGAAACCAAAAGGAAAAATATAAATTAAATAAAAATTTTTAAAACAAAAAGAATAAATTTTTTTTGGTTTAAAAAGTGTTAACATTTTTACCATTTACCAAAAGCTTTAAAAGTGTTTTTCTAAAAAACCAAAAAAAAAAACAACACCAAGTGTTTCAAAAATATACCAAAAATTCAAAAAAATTATTTAGTGTTTTTTTTTAAATTTTCAATTAAGAAGTAACAACAAATAACTGCAATCATCATGTCTGCTTCTCCAACTGCCCGTCAAGCCATGCATGTTCCACAAAAAACCAAGAAAATCACCATTACGGATCCCATCCAAATGCCGGAAGTTTATTCTTCAACACCCGGTGGTACTTTGTACTCAACAACACCTGGTGGTAAGTTGAAAATTTTTTTTTAAATATTTCAAAATTTTTGTTGGGAAAGGTTAGTTATTGTTTTGAAATTGTTAATTTCTAAACGATTTTTGTTTAGAAATAAAAAAATTCTGAAAATTTTCTTTAAATTTTCAAATAGTTTTTATTAAAAATGTTAAAGTTTTATTTCAAAATTTGTAAAAAATAAGAAAAATTTTATAAAGTTTTGAAAAATTTCTTATTTTCTTATAAAATAACGAAAATGTTAAACAATTTTGAAATAAACTGTTTAATGTTTGATTCAAAATTTTGAAAAATTTAACAATTTATTAAGAAAACATAAAAATTGATTTTTCAATATTTAAAATTTCCTCAATTTTATACAAAATTCTGTATAAATTTGGAAATTTTTTAAGAAAAAACTTTCGGTTATAAAAAAAAACTTTAAAAATATTAGAAATTTTATTTGAAAATCATGATTTTTACTTTTAAAATCAAAAATATTTAAAGAAATTTTTGATTTGAAATAACTTTTTTTTTTTAATCTAATTAAAAAATCAACAAATTACCTGTTTAAACTTCAAATTTCCTTAAACTTATCAAAATTTTTAATTTTATTTCAAAATTTTAAAGAAAATTTCAAATTCTTAAGAGATCTTCTTCCAGTCTTATGGATTATAACAAGTCCCTTTTTTACTTTAAATTTAAAAAAAGAATCAGCCTCTATTATCTTTAAGGCAAATATGCAGCATTTTCGAAATCTAAAGTTCAATGGCTGATGCAATTTTCCCTCAAAATTACGACTTCCTCAAAAGTCACTTCAAAATTTTATACTAAAATGGCACAAAATGTTATCATAGCAATTCAAAAGTAAAATGTTTTAAATAAAATTATGTTAATACTCATTTTTTAACAAAAACACTAGCATGAATCACAATAATAATACTTTTTTTAAAAAAAGCTATATTCAATGAGTAATAATTCTTATCAAAATCTTTAACAAATTACTCAAATTTCTAATCAATTATTACAAAACTTAAAAACAAAAAACCTTCAAAACAGTTCCTAACAAGGTCAACTGATATCAACAGATAGGAACTGATAAATGGCGTAGTAGACAATTTCAAAACATTTACAAAACTTTTTCTTAAACACAACAAAAAAAAAAAAACAATTTTTTACTCATAATCCATTTCTATTTTTACTCTCTTTACAGGCACTAAATTGATTTATGAACGTGCATTTTTGAAAAATTTACGTCAATCTCCCTTGAGTCAATCGCCACCCACTAATATACCCACCTGTTTGATGAGAGGTACACCACGCACACCCTTCCGCAAGTGTGTGCCACCACCCTCGGATCTCAGCAAGAAGGTGGAATCATTGAAGATTGAGGAGCAAGAACAATTTCAATTGGAATTGTAAATTTTACATTTAAAAAACAAAAGTAACAACAACAACATCAACTTAAATACAACACTTGTAAAATAAGCAATCAACAAAATTCCTGCCACTTAACAAAAAATCTTCTCCTCATCTCCTCCTCAAAAACCAAAACATCATCCTTAAAAAAATACAATGTAATTTATAAGCCTAGACGCTTTAAGAAGAAATGTAAATGAAAGAAATAATGTTTTCTTTTCAAAAGAAATCTTACAGTACTTCGCTAAAAATTCCAAAACTGCCTCAATGTTTTTTTTTAGCTGTCTTAGGAAAACTCATAGAAAAAGTTTTCCCCAAAACCCACAACAGAAATGCAGTTAAAAAACTCCATCTCCAAAAAAAAAAAAAATTAAATCATTATTTCCTTTATTTTATATAATTTAACTTAAGTAAAAAATTTACATCATTATTTGCATTTAGTTTTAAGTTTTTTCTTTTTTTATTTTCATTTTTAATTTCTTTTTTTTTTAATTTTCTTTATTCCTCAGTCATATTGACTGCTTGGCAAACATTTGTTCTAAAAAGTATATTTTTATTATTTTAGTTAAAAAAAACTTTTAGTTTTGTTAAAAAATGTTTTAAAACTTTTTTGAAATTCACATCGCATTGTGTCATATACATATTTTAGTTTTAGGAAATTTTTATAAAAAAATTATAGAAAAACAAAAAAAATTAAAAAATGTTAAAAAAAATTATATAAAAAATAAAAAATATATAAAATATTTATTAAAAAAATGCTTTCTTGTTTTCATTGATTTTAAATTTAAAATAAACATTTTGAACAAATAAGTTAAAACAGAAGCTTAGCTAAAGTTTAAGAGTAATAATCTAATCGATACTGAACTATAGTCTGGTCTTTACACTATCTAATACACTACATAAATAGTCTAGTCTATAGTCTAGTCTATAGTCTAGTCTATAGTCTAGTCTATAGTCCAGTCTATAGTCTAGTCTATAGTCTAGTCTATAGTCTAGTCTATAGTCTAGTCTATAGTCTAGTCTATAGTCTAGTCTATAGTCTAGTCTAGTCTATAGTCTAGTCTAGTCTATAGTCTAGTCTATAGTCTAGTCTATAGTCTAGTCTATAGTCTAGTCTATAGTCTAGTCTATAGTCTAGTCTATAGTCTAGTCTATAGTCTAGCCTATAGTCTAGTCTATAGTCTAGTCTATAGTCTAGTCTATAGTCTAGTCTATAGTCTAGTCTATAGTCTAGTCTATAGTCTAGTCTATAGTCTAGTCTATAGTCTAGTCTATAGTCTAGTCTATAGTCTAGTCTATAGTCTAGTCTATAGTCTAGTCTATAGGCTAGTCTATAGTCTAGTCTATAGTCTAGTCTATAGTCTAGTCTATAGTCTAGTCTATTGTCTAGTCTATAGTCTAGTATATAGTCTAGTCTATAGTCTAGTCTATAGTCTAGTCTATAGTCTAGTCTATAGTCTAGTCTATAGTCTAGTCTATAGTCTAGTCTATAGTCTAGTCTATAGTCTAGTCTATAGTCTAGTCTATAGTCTAGTCTATAGTCTAGTCTATAGTCTAGTCTATAGTCTAGTCTATAGTCTAGTCTATAGTCTAGTCTACAGTCTAGTCTATAGTCTAGTCTATAGTCTAGTCTATAGTCTAGTCTAGTCTAGTCTATAGTCTAGTCTATAGTCTAGTCTATAGTCTAGTCTATAGTCTAGTCTATAGTCTAGTCTATAGTCTAGTCTATAGTCTAGTCTATAGTCTAGTCTATAGTCTAGTCTATAGTCTAGTCTATAGTCTAGTCTATAGTCTAGTCTATAGTCTAGTCTATAGTCTAGTCTATAGTCTAGTCTATAGTCTAGTCTATAGTCTAGTCTATAGTCTAGTCTATAGTCTAGTCTATAGTCTAGTCTATAGTCTAGTCTATAGTCTAGTCTATAGTCTAGTCTATAGTCTAGTCTATAGTCTAGTCTATAGTCTAGTCTATAGTCTAGTCTATAGTCTAGTCTAGTCTATAGTCTAGTCTATAGTCTAGTCTATAGTCTAGTCTATAGTCTAGTCTATAGTCTAGGCTACAGTCTAGTCTATAGTCTAGTCTATAGTCTAGTCTATAGTCTAGGCTACAGTCTAGTCTATAGTCTAGTCTATAGTCTAGTCTATAGTCTAGTCTATAGTCTAGTCTATAGTCTAGTCTATAGTCTAGTCTATAGTCTAGTCTATAGTCTAGTCTATAGTCTAGTCTATAGTCTAGTCTATAGTCTAGTCTATAGTCTAGTCTATAGTCTAGTCTATAGTCTAGTCTATAGTCTAGTCTATAGTCTAGTCTATAGTCTAGTCTATAGTCTAGTCTATAGTCTAGTCTATAGTCTAGTCTATAGTCTAGTCTATAGTCTAGTCTATAGTCTAGTCTATAGTCTAGTCTATAGTCTAGTCTATAGTCTAGTCTATAGTCTAGTCTATAGTCTAGTCTATAGTCTAGTCTATAGTCTAGTCTATAGTCTAGTCTACAGTCTAGTCTATCTAGTCTATAGTCTAGTCTATAGTCTAGTCTATAGTCTAGTCTAGACTATAGTCTAGTCTATAGTCTAGTCTATAGTCTAGTCTATAGTCTAGTCTATAGTCTAGTCTATAGTCTAGTCTATAGTCTAGTCTATAGTCTAGTCTAGACTATAGTCTAGTCTATAGTCTAGTCTAGACTATAGTCTAGTCTATAGTCTAGTCTATAGTCTAGTCTATAGTCTAGTCTATAGTCTAGTCTATAGTCTAGTCTATAGTCTAGTCTATAGTCTAGTCTATAGTCTAGTCTATAGTCTAGTCTATAGTCTAGTCTATAGTCTAGTCTATAGTCTAGTCTATAGTCTAGTCTATAGTCTAGTCTATAGTCTAGTCTATAGTCTAGTCTATAGTCTAGTCTAGACTATAGTCTAGTCTAGACTATAGTCTAGTCTATAGTCTAGTCTATAGTCTAGTCTATAGTCTAGTCTATAGTCTAGTCTATAGTCTAGTCTATAGTCTAGTCTATAGTCTAGTCTATAGTCTAGTCTATAGTCTAGTCTATAGTCTAGTCTATAGTCTAGTCTATAGTCTAGTCTATAGTCTAGTCTATAGTCTAGTCTAGTCTATAGTCTAGTCTATAGTCTAGTCTATAGTCTAGTCTATAGTCTAGTCTATAGTCTAGTCTATAGTCTAGTCTATAGTCTAGTCTATAGTCTAGTCTATAGTCTAGTCTATAGTCTAGTCTATAGTCTAGTCTATAGTCTAGTCTATAGTCTAGTCTATAGTCTAGTATAGTCTAGTCTATAGTCTAGTCTATAGTCTAGTCTATAGTCTAGTCTATAGTCTAGTCTATAGTCTAGTCTATAGTCTAGTCTATAGTCTAGTCTATAGTCTAGTCTATAGTCTAGTCTATAGTCTAGTCTATAGTCTAGTCTATAGTCTAGTCTATAGTCTAGTCTATAGTCTAGTCTATAGTCTAGTCTATAGTCTAGTCTATAGTCTAGTCTATAGTCTAGTCTATAGTCTAGTCTATAGTCTAGTCTATAGTCTAGTCTATAGTCTAGTCTATAGTCTAGCCTATAGTCTAGTCTATGGTCTAGTCTATAGTCTAGTCTATAGTCTAGTCTATAGTCTAGTCTATAGTCTAGTCTATAGTCTAGTCTATAGTCTAGTCTATAGTCTAGTCTATAGTCTAGTCTATAGTCTAGTCATAGTCTAGTCTATAGTCTAGTCTATAGTCTAGTCTATAGTCTAGTCTATAGTCTAGTCTATAGTCTAGTCTATAGTCTAGTCTATAGTCTAGTCTATAGTCTAGTCTATAGTCTAGTCTATAGTCTAGTCTATAGTCTAGTCTATAGTCTAGTCTATAGTCTAGTCTATAGTCTAGTCTATAGTCTAGTCTATAGTCTAGTCTATAGTCTAGTCTATAGTCTAGTCTATAGTCTAGTCTATAGTCTAGTCTATAGTCTAGTCTATAGTCTAGTCTATAGTCTAGTCTATAGTCTAGTCTATAGTCTAGTCTATAGTCTAGTCTATAGTCTAGTCTATAGTCTAGTCTATAGTCTAGTCTATAGTCTAGTCTATAGTCTAGTCTATAGTCTAGTCTATAGTCTAGTCTATAGTCTAGACTTTATTTAATATTTAACAATTTTTAATGCATCAACATGTAAGTATGTATGAATCTTTCTGTGCATTCGAACACCTGATTACAATATTTACAATTAACATGTTTAGCAACATGTTGCCAGCAACACACAACAAAGTGTAAACAAATAACAAAATTTAACACAATTGGAGCGTAGAAATTTTATAACAAAGCAATTTTGAATTTAAAATAGAACTATTTTAGCAAGTATGTGTAAGTATAAAAAAAGCATTGTTTACAATGCATTAGAATAGTCAATGTCCCCTTCTTAATTAATGCTAATTTTTCAATATTACTTAAACGATAATTAACAATTATAATCAATTAACACAACTTGTTAGTGAAATAACAACTACAACACAATTTTCTTTTTTATACGATTTTTCTATGTTGTTTTTTTTTCTTTTATAATTTATTTCCATTTGTTATTTATTTTTTTGTATTATTTGCATAAACTTCACATTGTCGGCCAACCGGCATAAACAATAATTAAAAATGTAAACAAATTTAGCTAAAAGAAAAAGTTCACACATAGAAAAACAAAATTCAACATCGAAATAATAATAATAAAAAAACTACTGCGTAGTTTCCAAAATGAGCAGTTTTTTTCTATTTGATTCCTTCATTAGTAGTTTTTATTTATATGTGTTTAAATTTTATGATGCCTGCTGGGACTGAGTTCCATCCAAAACTGCAAACGACACGCGTACGTGTCGTTGTTTTGTATTCTTCTATGTTCTGCTGTGTGTATGTGTAAGTTTGCTAACGAACTGCTAAACGATCGCACAGAACGTACGTCGAATAGATCGACAGACTTATGGTGGGTCAGTGTAGTGGGCTGACTAATCAACAAAATGTTTTAAAGTCTTTTCACTTACGCCATAAAGTCTTTATATGATTTTTTGATATGAATATTAATAAGATAGCACTTATTATTAAGACAAAAATGTTAGACTATAGATCCGAAAAACTGTGGACATTAGGGATCAAACATTGATATTTTGTATGTCAAAACCCTAAAAATCCATTTTTTTTTTGGAAACTGGATACGCTATGAAAATTCGGGATCACTTTAATTGTCACCATTAGATTCTTAAAATTAATAAAAATTATTTAGGAATCCCTTACCTTATGTATTTTTTGCTTTGAATTCGCCAAATGTAAAATATTTTGGAAGATGTATCTGTTTTACAAAACAGCCGCTATTAATTAAAGGTTAAAGTTGACATCACTGGCCCATCAATACA